GCGGGCACTGGTGGGCACTCTCGAGGCGCGGGCACTGGTGGGCACTCTGGAGGAGCGGGCACTGGTGGGCACTCTGGAGGAGCGGGCACTGGTGGGCACTCTCGAGGCGCGGGCACTGGTGGGCACTCTCGAGGCGCGGGCACTGGTGGACACTCTGGAGGAGTGGGCACTGGTGGGCACTCTGGAGGAGCAGGCACTGGTGGGCACTCTCGAGGCGCGGGCACTGGTGGGCACTCTCGAGGCGCGGGGACAGGAGCCCTCCCTGGGCTAGACTCGGGGGCTGGAGCCAACACAGGAGCGAGCTCTGGAGCGGCCGGCGAGCTTGACTTCGGAGCGGCTGGCGAACTTGACTCAGGCGAGCTTGACAGCATACCGCGGGGAGAAAACTGGGAAAACAAAAACACAGGAGAAGGGGCGCTGCTTACTGTTTAGGTCCGCCGTTCTGTCACGATTCGAGGAGAAGAGGAGTAAGCAAAATCCAAAGTATTTATTAAACACAAAGCTAGGAACACAGGAAACAGAATGAGGAACGTGGGAACACAGAATGACATTTAACAGCGGATGGGAAACGAGGGGCAGAACACACTTTAAATACACAGAAATGAATGGGACACACCTGGGATCAAATAAAAGGAGGCAAACGAGATAATTAAACACAGCTGGAACCAATAGAACTAAATAGGGACAGGAATAGGAAAAACCAAATATGGGCATAATAATCAAACTGGAGAAAGTGGGGGAGGAAAACACAACACTAGACATGGAAGAGAGTCTGACAGGCAGGGGGCCAAGCAATTACTTATGGCTTCACGTGCTTCCCTCATCTGAACCCCAGGATGTGCACGTGAAGGAGTGCCAAGTCATGAAAAGAATGTTTAGCATTTTAGAATCTTTGGTCCAAAAAAAAGTGATATATTCTTCAAAAAAGGCAGCTTCAGAAATGTCCCTAAAGAAAACTTTAAAATCACACCAGAATATATATAGCCTATACAAAGATGAGAAATACTAAAATTACAAAGCAATTCAAGTCAAGACAATATCTTTTCCTCCAAGAAACACTGAATTTGCAAGTATTTCATTACATTATTGCATGTAAAGAAAAACATTATTACATTATATATTATTATTTCTAACAGTGTTGGGCAGGTTATTTTGGAAATGTAATAGGTTACAGATTACAAGTTACCCTATTTAAAATGTAATAGTAGTGTAACCTTTTCAATTACTTTATCAAAGTAATGTAACATTACTTTTTGATTACTTTTCTAAATTTCTAATGAATGTTTATTTGCAACTGTTAATCATTTTCAAACATTTACACCATGCAGGGTTAACCTTACAGTAGTGCTCAACACTGTCAGACTTTCAAAATCCTTCCTCACTTGAATTAAGATGATCAAATTTGAACACATCCACCACAAAATCAGACTTTAGTACCGCCTTTTACTTTGAGATTGATCTGAAGTTCAATGCGGATTTAAAATCATAAGAAATAGTTCACTGATACTGTTTTTGAAACCAAATCTTTGCATAACTACAGGAAACACTTCATCTAACAATGGTTTGGGGGAAAAAAAGTTAATTAAAAAATAATAAATAAATGCATATACATCAACTCAGATACGGTTATCTAATAAGCATGTGTTCTATTCTGTGTACTAAACTCCTGAAACATTGGTGCCTTTTTGAAACATTGGTGTCTCTTTGTATATGATATGATGATAGTTTTCTCAAAATAAGTAAAATGCTCATGAAGTGACTCAGAGCAGTTCTAGAGATTATGTTTATGTGTTCATATACTCATATATTGAGGCTGAAAACACTGCAAGCTTCAGTAGGCCTGTGTGTAGTAAATGAAACCACATGTCTGCGCCATTAATTTCCACGAGGGGCGGACTGGGAAAAAATGTCAGGCCGGGAAATCTCACACTCATACACCCACAAC